TATACATATATATATATATGTGTATGCATGCACACATATTAGTTTACTAAAACGATGTTTGATTTTCAGTATTGGTGTAAGTATTAAATTGAATTTTTAATACTAATGTGAGTATTAAGATTAATATATATATATATATACACATGTATTATTATTAACAATCATAACAGCACACACGCACATATATATATATATATAGCTAGCTAGCGTACATGGACTGACACTGTGACGCCATGCGCCCAGCGACCCCGACCCCCAAGATCCCAAGCAGCGAACGTTCCCCCGCCAGGTGGATCCGGAGGTCAAGGTGCCAGGGATGTGGTTGAGTTTAGGGTTTAGGGCCAAGGGTTTAGGGGAGAGTATCGGGTTGAGAGTATCGGGGTGTTTCTGGTCATGTTGGGCACCTGAAGTGAGGAATCGGTGGGCCAACTATTTCTGTCGAGACCTGGAGGTTTGTTCTGTGTCTGTGTCTGTGACTTCTTTTTTGAGCCTCGGCCCTACACCCGGATCCTCAAACCCCAAATGCCCGGTTTCCATGGGTATCGCGACGGTAGGGCAGGAAGGAAGGTGAAGTCTACGTTTCAGCCTTTTCTAGATTCGGGCTCGGGCTTGAGGGCTTCGGGTTTAGGGGGTTAGGTACTCTGTGCTTCCGGGCTAGCCCTCACACCCGGTAGGATTTCCTACATATGTGTCGCGCACCGTGTTTGTCACGTAGAGTTTCTGAGTGAGTCAGTAGAGCCTCATCTGACTCCTTGTGCCTGCATTCACGATTGCCACCGGATCTGAAATCTGGCTACTTCTCGCATCGAGTTTGGGTGCACAGGTCTAGTTTAAGCCTGCAGGGTTGGGTGCAACTTTGTGGCTTCAATCCTCAGACGGAGGTACCCGACATTGCTGCTGCCATGAAGGTACAGCAGATGGTGCCAGGGGTGCCCTGCCAGGGACGGGGGGAGGGGAGGAGGGTTCCGGAGTTTGGTGGTCCGTTGGCATAGGTTAGGGAGCCGAAGCTCGGCACCTTAGCCGCCGGTAGGCCTTGAGCACTGAAACAGCTGCGTAGACAAAGTGAAGCTTGCACCCGCGATGCCAACGAACTCTCCATAGAAGCATTGGCGCTCGTACTAGCAAAATATTCAACAAGGGATGTCATCGTGGCGTTCGTGGTGCTGGTGGTGCAGTGATCGTAGTGTCGTGGCGGTGATCACGGCGGCGATGGTGGTGGTGGTCGTCGTGGAAACTCTGATGATGACACGCATCATCTTTTCCCGCCTTGTCGGATTCATGCACCACACTCCCGAGAACAGGATTAACCCCAAGGCCTGACAGGCTCTGCCTCTCAGAAGCTGACAAGCTCGGCCCAAAGCCGTACCACCGAAAGCTTGGGACCTCGAAAGCTGTTATGTCTTTCACAAGCTTGAACCAGCCACCACGAAATTTACCCGCCGTGCCGCCGGTACCTCCAGCGCAAAGCCGCATGCTGCAGATCGAAGAACCAGTGCCCCCATACCAGCATGGACTTCGAAGGCAGTATAAATGCCGAGTTCATATCGGGCAAATCTGTGTTCCTGAATTCCCTCGTTGCTCGAGCCATCTCTATCTCCAGAAATGCAAAGACCGACCCTGTGCTCTCAGCTATTTGAGAAGGAACCCGTAGGCCCGAACCTTGTCACCCTGGCCATGCGAACTGCCACTGATGCTGCCATGGACTCCTGCTACAGCTGAGCGCACGAGCCGCACACAGTCCGCGTTGAGCAGTTCCCATCCAGGCAGGGGAGGGGCGGGGGTGCTGGCGTTCAAGGTCCGGGGTTTGGCCCAGTCGGCTCAATCTGGAGGCCATAGTATATTTTAGCATATTGTATGATGTCATACTCTATTTAATTCTCTTCTGTTCTGTTCTATTCTATGATGTTATACTATACCGTCCTAAATCACATTATATTACACAGTACTACATGATATGAGACTATATTGCGTTAAACTGCAGTATATTCTGAAGCATTGTATTGTGTCGTATTATAGCTTTATATGTTGTAATGTTCTGATAACATAACATGTTGTATCATATTATGTGCTATTCTCTTATATCGTTTTGTGTTATGTATTGTATTGTACGATAGTACTATATCATGTTCTATTCTGTTACACTATGCAGTACCATATTTTATTGTATTCTGCTCTATCCTATTCGGTTATATCGAGACAAAAACTTATTAGATAAGATTGCATTATTCTATATTATATACTACCATATGACAATGTATTGTATTGTGTTGTACTATCTTATCTTAAAATATTATATTTTCTTATAATATATTATACTATATTACATTATATTATGATATATTATGTTATGTTATGTTATGTTATGTTATATTATTATACTATGTTATGTTACATTATGCTATGTGGTATTACATTATATTACATTATATTATATCATATTATATTGTAGTATATTGTATTGTATTATATGGTATGGTTTTACGTGATGTGCTCTTATATTACCTCATATGTTCTTATAAAGTATTATGCTATATTGTCAATTTTTTGATATAATGATATGCACTACAGTATAACGTTATATTGTGGTTTTGTACATTGCGTTCTTATTTCACATTTCAGCTTATACTGTATAGCATGATATTTTAATGGTATAGTATATCACATGACTTTAGATTACGTTTCATTCATTATACTGCACTATACTGTGCGACTTATGCCATGCTATGCTAAATTCTGTTATAGTACATTATATTACATCGCATTATACTCGACTCTATTCTGTTCTAGTCTTTGCTGTTATATAATTTGACGTACTCTACTAAACTATACAGACTTCACGATGCCATTCTATGTAATGCCGTACTGTACTGTACTATCCTGTAGAACATAATACAGCATGATATGATGTGATTTTAAAGTTCCAGATGACATAAACAATTATGTTGAGGTCCTTTTTTGGCATGTTATGTTCTATGCTATACTTTACTATGCTGCATCATATTTTACTATATCCTACTATACTACATTGTACGAAACTACACTACACTACAATACACTACGCCAATAGCAGTCTATACTATACTACGCTATACTATCATGTACTATAGTCTAGTACACTATACTAGGTATTTTGCGACTGACTTTCATTCTCCAGACGTGGCACGGGTCAGTGGGCAGAGCAGACCACTAGATATGACAGGGCAGCTGCCCGTAGGGATGTTTTCAGTCAAGTTGTTATAGTATCATACAAAATACTGCATGATATACTATAACATAATCCACTGAAACATACTTCTAAATAGCATAATCCCCAGCCCGAAGCCCAGGAGGTCCCGACATCCTCCGATCGCCCAGCGCGAGAAAGTTCGTGGGTTTAGACAATGAGGTGTCAATTTTCCTAGTATAATATCGCATGCGATTGTCACCGTATCATATTATACCATAATATATTGTGCTACAAATGTTATACTGTACTGTATTGTTATATACTATACTACATATCTTCGCGCCTGAGCCCTAAACCCAAGTGCGACGCAGCAGGTTGACAGACAATGATACGACCAACTGCTGCAAAAGGTGAGTGCCTCAGATTTCTAGTGATTTCAGTTCTCTCGTCGGAATCGGCATGCAGTCCAAGTATTCCCAGGGAACCAGAGGCCTTTAGAATTGGGTTAGTCCGTGCGTAGATGGTATTCCGCGGACCTTTCACAGCAACTCAAGTGTTATGCTGCACTCCAAGAAAGTGGTCGGAGTGTCTAGATGTCCGTCAACAACAAGAATGGAAGAACATTATTCATCCACCACACTTGTCAATGCCCAAGGCAATTCCACTGGCAACAGTCATGCTACTAGCGCTGGTATGTGTCCTGATCAGTATATCGTCGTCCTCGTCGTAGTAGTAGGTAGTAGCGGTGGTCGTAGTCGTCGTGGTCGTTGTCGCGTGATGTTGGTGCCGGTGGTGGTGGTGGTGGTTGTGGTGGTGGTTGTGGTGGTGGTGGTGGTGGTGGTGTTGGTGTTGGTCATGGCACCGCTGGGTGGTAGTGGTGGTGGTGGTGGTGGTGGTGGTGGTGGTGGTGGTGGTAGTAGTAGTAGTAGTAGTAGTAGCAGCACTAGCAATATAACTTGCAGCAAAAGCAGGAGTGGCCGTGTATGAATACTATAGTAGACTTGTGGAAGCAGCAGTTCTGGTAGTAGCAGTGGTTGTATAGTAGTTGCAGTAGTAGAGGCAGTAGTGGTAGTAGTCTTCGTGGCAGCAGTAGTAGTAGCAGTTGTCGTTGTTGTTGTATTGGTACAACAGCTGTATGAGAACTATTACTTGTACTAGTTCTAATACCAGTATTGGTATTCTTACTGGTAGTGTTGCTGGTCTTGCTGCTGGTCCTGGTACTGGTACTGGAGCTGATACAAGCAGTAGTAGTAGCAGTAGCAGTAGTAGTAGTGGTTGTAGTGGCAGTAGGTTGTAGTAGTAGACGTAGTAGTAGCAGCAGCAGCAGCAGCAGCAGCAGCAGCAGCAGTAGTGGCAGTGGTATTGGTGGTAGTAGTAGTAGTAGTAGCAGCAGCAGCAGCAGGAGTAGTAGTAGTAGTAGTAGTAGTAGTAGTAGGCGTCGCCGTCGTCGTCGTAGTAGTAGCAGTAGTAATAGTAGTAGTAGTAGTAGTAGTAGTAGCAGTCAGTAGCAGTAGTATAACAGTAGTAGTAGCAGTAGTAGTAGCAGCAGTAGTAGTAGTAGTAGCAGCAGGAGGAGTAGTAGTAGTAGTAGCAGCAGTAACAGTAACAGTAGCGATTACACTCACAGTAACAGTAACAGTAACAGTAACAGCAGAAGGAGCACAACAAGTAGTAGCAGAGCAGAAGTGAGGACCAGTTGGAGTGGGAGGGCCGAAACACAGAACCCAATACCAAATCCCGACACTTGGCCTTTGAATGCGGCGGGGCGTAGCTCGAGACGCATTTTCACTTATACCATCTGAAACCAGAAATTTCGCCAAGTCCTCTTGTCCAGGAGGTCGTTCGGAAGGTGGATGTCTTGGTGCTGGACTGGAAGGCTCCGCCCAAGCAGGGGCCGAAGGACACTAGCGTCCTCCTGGGCCACCAGTCTGCAACAACGTGCGCTATCTGTTGCATTGCAGCAACAACGTGCGCTATCTGTTGCATTGCAGCGTTGGGTGCTTGCAAAGTCGCGATCAGGTTGGAAGGTCAAATATACGCTAATTCAAGGTTCAGAGTTTCAGCAGCCCTCAGCTTAGTTTCGTTCAAGGATGTCCGCTCAAGCAATGCCAGAATGTATGCAGAACCCTCATCAGGCTCTTACATACATGCATAAACCGAATACATACTCATGTATCCCGGAAGCTTGCTCGAAACCCCAAACCATAGACAAAGTCGGGCACGCCCAGGTCAGCGTGAGAGCGAAAAGAGCGTGGTTTGGGGCTCCCGAGAGCAGCTGCTCACCAAGTTCCCAGCAGCTTCGCTTTGCTTTGCAGGGTTTGAGGATTGAGGAGCAATTTGGGGCCCGGTCCGTCTTTGAAAGGGCATCCAGGTTTCAGTTTCGGAAGGGCTGTGAGGATTCCACGTGAACTTGCAGGAGGAAGGCCTGTATCTTCAGCCTGTGGGAATCCAGGGCCTGAGGCCTTTCTGAATTTGAATGTCGTTACTAGAGATTTCAAGAGGCCGAAAATGAGCGGCCGGAGAGCTCCTGAATCCATAGACAGATTGGGACATTAAGCTAGAGCTTGGAGCTCTGGAGACATGCCCGAAGATCCCGTTGAACCATGGACCAAACCCTAGATTTGCCTCGCCTGCGGTGTCCGAGTCGCGAGAGTCCAAAATCCCTATATCTGAAGCTGCAGGCCTCCGTTTGGGATGTCTGCATTTGCTCGAGCACGGCGCGGCTGGTATTAGACTTGGCCGGGCAACTCAAGGTGCTCTTTGCGCTTCCTGGGCTGCGTGGCCTTTGCTGTCCATGACCAGATAGTGATATCAGGTTACGCTATAGAATCCCGGAATCCGTGATGTAGTTAAGTATTTGCTGCATGACGCCGTGCGCAATTAGGCTTTGCCTCACAGTTCGCTGAGTTTGTTGTTTATTCGTTTATTCCGGAGTAGCCAAAAGGACCTGTAGTCGGGGGTCGCGCCTACCCAGCCTTTGAGGAAAGAGCCCAAAAGTCTGGATTGGATGGACCTTCTGAGGAGCCTTGTGTCAATTCAGGTCGGTGTCTCGAGTACTGGTCGCGCCCCGGTGGGTTTCCCGATGCATGGTTCGTGTCTGCGTTGGTGGCCACACCTTTTTGGTGGGTCTGGTCGTGCTTTGGTTGGTGTTTTTTGTCCGTTGTCAGGTCGCGTCTCAGTCGTTTCCCACCAATTTCGGTCATGTCCCGGTCCAGTTCCGGTGCTTCCCGGTCGGTGTCCAGGAGGTGTCTCGGTCGTGTATGTGTCGTTCTGGTTGGCGTCACAGCCTTGGTTGTGTCCGACGGTATGCTTGTCGAGTGCTGGTGTGTCCTGGTCGTGTCTCGATCGGAGTCGGTGTCCCAGTCGATGTCCTGATCAGTGTGCCAACTTTTAACTCTTGTCGCTGTCGGTGTCACGGAACACTGACTGTCATTCAGACCTAAGTTCACCTCCTCTGGAGGTGAAACGCCGGCTAGCCCTGCAGCACGACTACAACCTTCCCTTGGGACCCTGGGGTCAAGAGCAGACGCCTGACCAGCTGAAGGAACACCGAAGTCTCCTGAAGGCAGGTTCGGTGCAGGGCTGTTGGGCGAGGCTGTTAGTCCAGAGGCGAGGTGCCAGCTGCGAGACTGTTAGTGACGCACTCCGTGCACAAGCAGCGTTTTACGCAAGGCCCAGAGATGATCATCGAGTGTGGCTGCGGAGAGTTATTTTTGGGTTTAGCTTTCTGTGAGGATTTAACGAGTCTTGAGGTCTCCTTGGCAAGTTCTTGCGGTTTTCGCTGGCAAAGAACCGTGTTCGTAGAATCCAGGAAATCGACCTTTTCATGCTGTTGCACTGCGCGATTTTCCTGTACACAGAGTTCTGAAGAGTCATCTGTGTGTACATGTACTCGTGTGTGTAGTTACGTGAGAGATGCTAGAGGCAAGCTTGACCCAGGCAGAATTTGTGCCAGAATCGCTTGCGATGGTGTAAGCTACAGCTACATCCACAGAGATGGATAACAACTTCGCGGCAGTCCCCACTGGCCGTGCAGCCAAGACATTCATCAAGAACCCAAATCCCCAAGGCTACATGAGCACCCGAACGTGCACAGCACATTCCGTTTTGTAGCTTCGGCGCGCGACTTGCATCAGGGATTCGAGCTGCTCTGCGCGTCCCAGCACCTAGTGGACTTCGTCGAGAAATGGGGCGAGGGCGACTTTCGCGCGAGATGCTGCTGCTCGGTTTTCTTTGGACCTGGAATTCAGGTCCTGTGCCCCCCACACTGCCCTAAGACCTGAAACCTGAGGCCGTAAAGCTCCTAAACCTGAAACCCCAAAATGGCTACGGCTCAAGCCAATTTTCGCTCAGCACACATAGTGGGACGAGCTGGCCGAGGAGAGAAGCGCCCCGGAGAATGGCTGTAGTCAGCAAGATGGCGCGCTCGAACGGCCGAACTGCCCTCGCCGGGACTTTGGCGGCTGCTGCCCTCCTTTCGGCCCCCAGTTTCGTTGCCCCAGGAAATGAGGCTCCCCGCCAAATGCAGGCCCAGGCTCGCAGCACTGCCGCCAGCAGCGCGGCTTCGATGACCCAGGAGGCCGGCCAGCTGCACATGGCAGCAGCCGGTGGCAGCGCCGCGGTCATGGGTGCAGTGGCAGCCCTGGGGCCTCGACGTGCAGCAGCCAAGCGCAGCCGCCAAATAGTGGCCACGCGCGCAGCGAAGCAGGAGGCTCTCGATGGACTCTCGGAGCTCGTGGGCTTGGCAGAGCAGCTCGTTCATCGGCCAGGGCCGCAGCAGCTCTTCCTCTTGGTGCAGCAGCTGCAGGCGTTTGCCTCCGCAGAGCTGCGCCGTGGCGCAGAACTTTCGGCCCCTGCAGCCAGGGCCTTCGAAGAGGTAGTGCAAGGCGCCAGTGAGGCGCTGGTCAGCAGTGCCGACAAGCAGCTGAAATGGGCAGCCGGCGCTGCAGCATCGCTGCTGCTGACATTCAGCGTTACCCTGCAGCCTGCCTTTGCAGCGGATGTAGTCAATTACTCCGATTTCATGGAGTCCGTCAACCGCGGGGATGTTGAGATGGTGCGCGTCCAGGACGATCAGCTCTCCGCGCAGTACACCACCAAGGATGGTGCTCGCAAAGAGGTGAACTTGATCCCCAACGCGCAGATTGAAGATCAGTTGTTCAACATTCTCGCACAGAAGAAGGTGGATGTAGTGATGCAAACTCCCGGAGCTAACTCCGGCGGGCCTCTGGACTTTCTCGCACGCTTCGCGAGTCCCATCGCTTGGCTCATCGCAGGTTTGCTCTTCCTCTTCGGAGGAGCCGGCATGGGAGGGCCAGCCGGACCCGGTGGCCCGGGAGGGAACCCTTTCGAGCTTGGCAAGTCCAAGGCCAGAATCATCAAGGATGGGGACACGAAGGTCAAGTTCGCAGACGTGGCTGGCTGCGATGGTGCCA